GGCGGCCCGGGCCAGCTGAAGAGCTCCGTCTCGGGCGGGACGTGCGAACACCGACCTGAACTAAGCGGTGCCCGCTCGCAGCAGCACGTGCGTCCGTGCACGGGCACTGTCACCCTCCATCCCTCACCAGCTGTGGGGTGCTCCCCAGCCTCCTGCCCCACGCCCCGGCGGGCACCGCGAGCTGCCTGGCCCCTGCCGCTCTGCGCCCACCTCTGCTGCACCATTCCAGTACAACGTCTCTTAGGATGCCTTTTTTCACCTACGCACCATAAAAAATCAGATTTATTGGGTGCCTTTTTCACTATTTGCCTTTAACGTTTTCATGTGTTTTGCCCACTCCTGCCCTTACTTGCGAGTTTGTTTTTCCCATCGTCTTCCTCAGCAATTCCAAGTTGCCGCTGCTGGAACATAAAGTGAGGGCAGTGAGTTTTGGCCTTGGATCTGATGACCATGAGATTCCTGGGGGGCAATTTAAATTGCTTTGGGGTGTATGCATATGGGTGCTCACCCACTGCTGACATAGGTGCACCAGCTCCAGCAGAGTAAGACCCGCACACATGTGCATGCATGCAGTGTGTTTTATCCTTTTGGCAATATTTGATTCTACTTGCTTGTATTAAAAATAACTCATTTTCTGTTAAGAGAAAATGACACAATGAAACAGCTCCAATTTGTGATGCAAGATTATATCAACTTCCCCTGGCTCCAAAATTCCTACTGTGCAGCCCCGGTGAGGGCTTTATGCAGAGGGACACTTAAAAATATGAAGTCAGAATTCTCACTGCTTTCTGGTGCTTAAAATTAGGCACATTTTCAGTGCTCAGGTGACCTAACTTACGATCTGTGTTTCATGTGGATGATGCTTTTCTTGGATTACTCTGTGTCTGGAAAGCTGTCCTCTGAAATGGGGGAATTTCCAATTTCTAAATTAGGTTCTTAACCTAACCTTAACTAGGGACCTGCAAGGAAAAAGTCTGCTTTTTTTTTTTTTTTTTATAAAGTGGTGCTGTTATTAGTGTTGCCTGAAGTAGCTGTTCTGGTGTAAGAGCATCCGTCTCCGCAGCCACGGCCACTGCACGTGGGCAGGCGTGACCGGCGTATCCCGGCTGCTCGCTCCAGCTGCCCCGGCAGTGCGGGAACGTAAGGGCAACCACAGGGGAAGGAGCAGTGCCATCGCTTCAGGGAGCGCGCTTGGCCGTATAGATCTCCTCGGGCTGTTGCAGGCACTGCAGCTTTGGTGTGGGATGCAGGCAGCATCTCGCACCTGAGCCCCGCTCCTCTATAGCAGCCCCCGAGCTCTCCGGTCCCTGGGCTGACGATGGCACGTCTGTATTTCCACCAGCTAAAGCCGCAGCAGGGTGGGGTGGGAGATGCTGCCTGTGCCCTACAGCAGGAGGGTGCCGATGGCTCCATCCAGAGCTGAAACGCTCTGCAGGGGCACTGAGCCGCGCTCTGTGTCACTGCTCCCTGCTTTGGACTCTCACTTGTGCCTCGCTGCAGTTCACGGGTCCACAAATGGCTTATTTCTCTGCGTCTCTGTGTGCCGCCGTGTCCTCATCTCCCCGAGCTGCCGGGACCTCTGGTCCTGGACATGTCCGTGCCGGGCTGGGGGTGCTGGGACCGCTGGCCGGTCCCCGATGGCAGCAGGGTCTGGCAGGAGGTGAGGTGCAGCCAGAGTAGGGCCAAAGCGACCGGCCGAGGATGCACGTGGAGCCGTTCATCGCCCCTCCCAACACCCCCATCTGTACCCCTCTCTCTAGATGATTCCTCCGGACCAAGAGCTGCTGGTGTGGTACGGGAACTCCCATAACACCTTCCTGGGCATCCCAGGCGTGCCGGGGCTGGAAGAGGAGCAGAAGAAGAACAAACACGGTAGGTAACATCGGAAGCAGCCATGGGTGCAGCATCCCTGCCTGTTCGCTGTGCGCCCTGTGCCCAGCTCTGAGGCCATAGGGTCGGCATGGGGCAGGGACATCCCAGGGGACGTGTGAGACCCCCCCGCTCTCTGGGGACAAACACAAGGGCTGTGAGACAGATCCATACAGCTTGAGCAGGCCCCTGGTAATTTGTGGGGTTGCCTCCGTGCCGGTTTGCCCATGGCTATTGCTGGTGCAGAAGCCAGTAGCCGTTGCCTGACCCAGCCGGGCAGGGAGGAGCAGGGCAGGGGTGCGAGCGGGAGGAAGGCAGCTCCGACGCACTGCAACACTCTGCGTGGATGCAGGTGCCTACGTCCCCACTCTGCATTTAGCAGATCTTTTCCCAAATCACCATCATAGGGTTTTTTTCTGCCTGGGCTTTTGCTCTCTGCTTGTCTTGGTGGTTCCCTGAGGCACTGCTCTGCGGACAGGCAGCAGAGCTCTCGGGCACATTTGGGGGATGCTGTGTTCAAAGCCAGACCCCATCTATGCTCCCCAGCCCCACGCTCTGCTCTGAGAGTGCCGGGTCGGAGCCCCGCGGAGCAGGGGAGAAGCTGGGACTGATGCAGGGACAGCTTGCTGGGGCCGAAGGGCTGGGGCTGGGGGCCAGGCAGCGTGGCTATGGGCTGGGGGTCCTGCGCTCTGCTTGCAGCCAAGGGAGGGGAAAAGTGGGTTTTGTGCCCTTCTCTAGTGGAGACAGGCTGGCTTGAGCATTCCCCTTCACTAAATTTGGGTGAGCCCATTCCTAGCTCTGTCCCCATCCCAAAGCCCTAAGTGCCAGGCTGCGACCCTGCTCTGCCTGGGAGGGCTGTCTCCGCTCCTGGGCATCCTCAGCGGGCAGAAGAGCCAGCGAGGGGGCACGGGGTGGCTATTTAGGGCAGCCAGTGATCCGGGGGCTTGGGGAGGGGGTGAGCTGCTGTGCCGGAGGGCAGTGCCTGACCGTCCCGTTGTCCCCAGAGGACTTCCACGCCTAAGTGCCAGGCTGCGACCCTGCTCTGCCTGGGAGGGCTGTCTCCGCTCCTGGGCATCCTCAGCGGGCAGAAGAGCCAGCGAGGGGGCACGGGGTGGCTATTTAGGGCAGCCAGTGATCCGGGGGCTTGGGGAGGGGGTGAGCTGCTGTGCCGGAGGGCAGTGCCTGACCGTCCCGTTGTCCCCAGAGGACTTCCACGCGGTGGA